GATAGAGCGGGGTGGGCACCCGGGGTCCAGCCAGAGTCAACCCACCACACCAACATAAGAGGAAAACCAGGAGTACGTGGGGACAGTGGACAGGTTCGCCACTGCACAGAGAGTTTTAGGCTTATTTTTCCTGGATTTGTCTGACCTCCTTACCCCTGTGGTAAATGTCATAGAGTCACAGAATAGAATCATAGAATGGTTTGAGTTGGAAAGGATCTTAAAGACCATCCTATTCCAACCATTCTGCCATGGGCAGGGACACCTCCCACTGGATCACGTTGCTCAAAGCCCCATCCAACCTGGCCTTGAACACTTCCAGGGATGGGGCCTCCACAACTTCTCTTGGCAACCTGTTCCAGTGCCTCACCACCCTCACAGTGAATTTTTTTTTCCTAATATCCATTCTAAATGGATAAAAAAAGTCCCTCTCCAGCTTTTGTAGGCTCCCTTCAGATACTGGAAGGCTGCTACAAGGCGTCCCTGGAGCCTTCTCTTCTCTAGGCTGAACAACCCCAACTCTCTCAGCCTGTCCTGGGGTGCTCCACCCATCTGATCATCTGTGGCCCTCCGCTGAACTCACTCCAACAGCTCCTGGTAGTCCTGGTGCTGCCAGTAGGGGAGTCCCCTGATGGCAGGCACTGGAGCGCAGCTTGCCAATGTGTGGGGAGTTGAAGGGCTGAGAAGCTTAGCAGGTTGGGCTGTGTCCATTTACTTCCTCAGCTGGAGCAGGAGGATGGAGCCCTTGACACTACAGTATTGATTTGGAAACACTGAAGGGCACAGCTGCTGTTCAGATACTGAAATCAACAGACAGCCAGCTGGTCTCACCAGGCTTTCTGAAGAAAATAAATTGGTCTGTAAGGCTCTAACTTCTGACTTCTTGGCTCAACAGGTGAAGCTGGTGGTAACAGTTGACCACAATTCTCCAGGAGGTTAAGTTGTTAACTGGAATCCCTGTTGATTTGGCATGGCAGGAGAACAGAGGTGCTTGAAAGATCAAGAGATGAGATAATGAACTTTGCATGGGTGCTGCAGACTCTCAGACAGAATGGAGGGGGAAGGAGCTGCAAGAGGTCAGCACAAGAACTGGAAACTCACTTTAAAAAAGCAATTCTTAATCAAGCTACTGAAGTACACAGTACTGAGGTACTCGGCAATCAAAATTCTGAAGTATTGGTGGTCTGATTTGGAGCAGGTGGACACAAAATAGCCTATGTCAGCTTTTCTGGTTAGCGCACGTGTGTTTGAAATGCATGTCTACGTGGGGAGTCCCCCCGAAGGTCCGGGGGTGAAGGGAGGCAGCTCAGAGGCCCACCCTTCCCTTGTGGCTTAACATGGAGAACGAGATCAAGGCAAATCACATCTCCCTGCTGTGGCACTTCCGACGTGGAAGGACTGAGAGTAAGTTTGTCAGGCACTGAAAAAAATACAATCTGTTCCAATAGTGAAAGGTATGTGTGTGTGTGTATGTATTCTTGTGTGTGTGTGTGTGTGTGTGTGTGTATACCTTCATAGGCATGCACAGGTGTGTTTCTATACAAGTATACATGTACCGAAGTGGGACTGGTGTAGGGGCTACAGTTCCCCAGGTAGTTCCTGTGGCGCTCTGGTAGGAGAGGGGGAAAGGTGTGAGTCTGCGTAAATGCTGCTGCGCATCCGTCCCTCCTCCCTTGCTCTCAAAGCCACTGTTTCTTCCTGGCCACCACTCATCAGACCCTGCTGTGAGCTGACCAGACTCGCTCAACTTGGTGACACCACCACCGCCTTCTCACTCACTTTGTTTTCTGCTACTGCAGGGAGCTGCAACAGCTCACTGCAGGGCCAGGGCCAGCAGGAAGCCTATAGGTGGTGGCTGTGAGTTGCTAATTAGACTGACTCGATCTTACGAAGCCATGCTTTAAGACACTTTGGGGTTTTTTTTGCATATAAAGGCGATGCTGTACTTACTCAACAGCTCCTCGTCGCCTGCCCTGGCTGCCTGCTCCTT